CCGACAGGAACACTACGTCGCTGGTCTACTGCCATTCCAAAGAGACATATCCCCCTACAAGGTAAGCCAGGGGAACTGCTTACAGTGCGTAAGATGTTTTTTGTGCATCAGTTACTTATGTTCTGCGTCCGCTCTTGTATTCCTCTTTCAGCCTGTGCCGGAATCGGGTCGATTCAACATGGATGAGTTCTTTCGCACCCTGGAGACTTTGGGTCCACAACTGACCTGCGAAATTAAAGGTGACTGGGCTGGTCTCTACAGGTTAGTTTCCAGGCCCCCTATCCCCCCTCTTGGCTAAATTGTTCTTCACTGAGGTCCAGCACTTTGTCAGTCTGTCGGCCGGATGTGGGACTGTTGCCGATAGAAGCGAGTATGCGAGTTCCAGGAAGCAGTTCAGAAGGAGAAGACGCGATCACTAGAACAAGAATTTTATTTCCCTGACATTTCGGATTCTGTAGAGAATCCTTAATCATAGATTACAGTAGGATAGTGTGAGACATGCGCAGATTGGGGTGGTACATGCACAGATTGCACAGTACTTAGAGTTCGTAGCGGTTATCCGCATGCGAGGCCGAGATCCTCACAAGAGATGACAACCGCGTGAGCCGCGAGCTGCTCGAGTCATGGGTCTCAGGCCCACAGTCCATCAACAAGCGCACCCATTTGCCGTTCTCATACTCCGCATTGAGACATTATGTGAGCAAGACAATCAATCACGTGAGAATGGCCGTGCCGAGCAACAACTCTGACGACAGCGAGCATAATTGTCGCACAATTATTAAGCCCGTATCCGACACGAACAAGGAAATCGCGGCGATTAATGAGTCGAAAGCGAAGTGTCAAGCCATCACCGCATCAATTAAGACCCCTCAAGCGGTGGCTACAGGAGCTGATAATTATAGTACGCATGCGGTTGACCGATATGAACTATAATTATTGTGCATCAGCCCAATCCGCGCATGTCTCACACCATTCTACGATTACCTATGATTAAGGATTCTCGAAAGAATCCGAACCGTGGGGAAAATAAAATTATTGTTCAAGTGATCGCATCTTCTTCTTCTTCTGAACTGTTGTTGACACATGTCGACAAACTGTGACACACAAGATAAAATGGTTTGTTTCCTGTCTATTTTCCCTCACTACGAGGCCATTCCTCAAACTGGGAATGAAAAGGCATGGTATTTTAATGCTATCCTGGATGCAAACGGTCACTTTTTGGTCATCTTTACAAGATATCGGAATAGGGGCGCCCCATATAACTAATGCTGATGATATTCCACATAGTTACAGGAATCGTAAATAGGCAAAACTGTCTTGTAGGGCCCCCTAAATATATATTCCCCCGCCCACCTGTTTTACGTATTTTGTGGTTAAAGTTTTAATTCTAGGTAAGTGAGTGTAAATGTGTGTTTAATTGTGGTGAACGTGATCAAAAATATTAAATTAAGGAAACTTATATTTGTTTAAATGTACTAAGTAGAATCAAGTCCATCAACATAAACTCCTGTTTCTCAGGGTACTGATGTCAATTGAGGGAAATTCAACCTTGGCGGAATTTAACGAAAATAGGAAATTTTTACCTTATATTGAAGGGATTTAACGAAAAAAGGGGAAAATCGAATTAGTGAAAAATATAAATGTCGGTTACTGTTATAAGTTAAGGGAAAAAGGACTTCTAAATACAGTCCTGCCGGTAAATATTCATGCTTTATAACCCTAACTCTAGTCCTAACGTAAATATAAACCTTAGCTGTAGTCTTAACCCCAACATTCCAGTTAGCGTTAGCTTTGACCATAAATCGAACCGTAATTTCGCTGGAATCGGGCTAAACTGGCGGATTTTATTTGCAGTAGTTTGCGGCAACAAAATAATTCTTCAAAAGCCTGTTTTTGCTATATGGACTTCGCTTCCAAGATACCTTTTGTCACCTCGGCTTCCTACTTCTTTTGACTCCTTTTGCTCTTCTTCATATTATCAAGTCTTGCTGACATTCCGGGTGGTGGCTATCCTCTTTTATGTTGACCGGTGCCTTTTAAGTGACTGGGACTTCAAATACCTATTAGTTGAAGATGAATCTTTGTTGAAGTAGCATGCTAGATGTAGAACCCTACTCGTCATACGGAATTTGACCAATCATTTCGCGTGTTTGTCGTACTTATAAATGGCTAGCCTTGGCGGGTGCCTTGGAGACTTTTAATTGGACTTGGGAGTATTTGTAGTCGTTTTATGCTAAAAAATTACTATATTACTGAGCTCAGGAAGGGCATCAAAACAAAAACTGTCATGCGTGATGGAAATACGTACACTATGGTTTACTTAGGCGACTGCCCGAAGTTAGCCGTTGAACAGTGTCATATGCGGAGTTATTTATTTAAATTGCTTAGCATTGGCATTTCGTTAGTGGCATAAATTCCGGATGGTTTTTTTTTAAATCAACGGCGACCAGTGCAAAAACTCCTATGTTCACGGTTGTTAACATCCAGTAAATGAGGATACTAACGGTTCAACCACTGCTAACGACGCCCGTTGTAATCCCCACAGCATGCGCATGAATTCATTTATGATGACAGCGGACTTGCGCGGCACCTACTGCACTCTCTCCTCCCTCACCAACATGAGTCTGTTGACAAGACAGAGGCAGGACAATATAAAGCGCTCTTAGACGCATGGAGCCACTACAGCTCCCTAAATGGGTGTCAAACTGACAGGATACGCCAAGATGACATGCGATCTTTAAGGCCGATTAACTTGGCTCGATTATAACTGAGTCAAATCGACAATGAACCAGAAGCATCATACACGTTCATACAAAACTATTTGCTTGCAGGACATCTGGGTTAAAATCGACAGATGGGAAGAGTGAGTGCTAGAAGTTCCTGCGGCCAGCACTGCATCATAATGTGGTGAGCAGCGCGCGAATCCAACGAATCATGCTAAATAGGCGTCACGAGGCCTAAAATACTTGTTTGATAGGCGCGTTTGGAAAGTCATTTCTCTCCATGACGGTCACGATACAAAAATGTCTTTGGAATGTGAGACTGCGGTATGCGAGACGGAGCAAGGAGTAACAGGTGTGCGCTTGCATGGTAGAATCGGGTTCACCTTCTGGAGGTTAAAGGGATCTATTATGACCGTGTAAACCGTGTGCATTTAAATTTCCGTCGGTGCTTTCTCAAAATCCCGAAGAAAGTCGTTTTAAGAGGATAAAGAACGTTCAATTAGTCTGGTCAGTATTGAGAGGCTAGCTGAGGACACCATCTCGACCGCTATTTTCTTCCGAATGAAGGTATGGCTGGAGGGGAAGAACGTATAGAAGTTAAGTCTAATGCGGTTAACCCTAATACC